AATAAAATATTTGGTTATCAATGTAAAAATTAATAAAATACGTACAAATTTTGGAAATAACACTTCAATTTTTCAAAAATTTATTTTTTTAGGTTTCTATAATAAATTTAGTGAAAGAGATTGTTAGTAGAAAAATGGAGATTTCAAATAGAATAAATTTTTTATGTTTTATTTTTTTATGTCTTTTATATTATTTAAAAAAATAATTATACCACTACATACAACAAAAATTAACTGATATACAAAAAATTAACTTTTTTATTTTTCATTTTTTTATGCTTTTTATATTATTTACAAAAATATTTATACAATATATACAACAAAAACTATATAACACAAAAAAATAACGCCCACAAGGGAACTCGACCTTGAGACCTCACATGAAGAAATAAAAGTCTTAACCACCACGCCACATCACCATATGTGATTATAACTTGATGATTAATATAATATATTTAAATTCTCATTTCATTTAATGATGTTTGAGAATTATCCCACATCGAAAGATAGGTATTCCACTTTGGTATATAAATACCTATGTAATATAGATTAAAATATTTGTGTAGAAATGTTAGGGTAACCTCACACGTGTGCACGTGCGTGAGGGAGGGAACCGGGCGGAACCGAGAAGAACCGGACAGAACCGGATTGGAACCGGCGGTTCTTCTCTAGAACCGGGCAATTCCCGGTTTTGTATAGGAACCAGCACGAGCTGTGCCGGTTCCCGAGTCGAGTCCGGTTCGACTCGTCGATTTTTGAAACACTGGTTTGCTCTAAATGGAATGAGACTTTTGCTGAGGACAAAAAAGCATTTTTGAATTGGAAAGAACTCAAGACGTGCTTTTAAGATCTTGAATCCAATGCAGCCCCTCAACGAGAGTGTAAACCAAAGAGATTCTCTACGAAGGCACTATTTATTTTTTTACACGAAGGTCACAATCATTATTGTCTTTTAAATTTCAAAATGGGTCATTGTAAGCATTTCATTGAATAGACACAAAATTATAAAAAAAAAAAATAGATTTTATTATTCACCCCAAGCCATCCAATTTAATAACTAACAAGTGAGAGTAATTGTAACCTCTATGTGCAAAAGATAAATGGTTTCTTTGTAAACAATACCTAAACGAAAAGTAGTAAAAGGTAAACAAAAAAGTAATAGTAGTAAAAAAATTATATAAGAAAATGATTTTATTTATAGAAATAAAGATATGATAATTTACACTCTTCATTTTATTTAGATGGTATAGATTAAACACTGTTTTAAAAAATGTGTTATATATTGACTACATCATGATATGTCAAATCTATATCGTCCAAATAAAATGAACTGTATAAAATATATATGATAAAAAAAAAAATTAAAAGAAACAGTTAAATCAGCAACGAACATATCAAATTCAAGTACAAGTCAAAGACACTTATGGTTTCTTTTCCATAACTTAAACTAGGGTCCCAAAAGCATATGCTTTTATTTCTCTTTCAATTTCTAAAAACCATATGGAATGATCCCTTCAAAGCCCCACAAACCTCTTATAAATTGTAATGTAATGTTCAAAAATATTAAATATTCATATAATAATTAAATGACCCCAAAAATACTTAACTTAAATACAAAATGGAAATTTCTTTTAAGGGTGCTGTTTGTATAGAGCTTAGACTCTAAACAATCAAATTAAAGCATACTGTCAAATAGTGTCGAGAAATGTGGTTTCAATATTGAAAATCTTCGTGATAGCCTTAAAATACATTTTCATCTTTATTTATAAAGTTTAAAGCTTTAAAAATAGTGTAGATCGACATATCTATGAAAATCTTGAAAATTAACGATCCAAAAATGCATTACAAAATACATTATTTTCAAAACTTGAAATCGATTTTTTTCTCATGTCCATACATCTTGATGTTGAGATGATCAATTTGATGATATTTGGGCATCAAAACAAACTCTTCTAGTAAAATTTTTGATGTAGGTTCAAATTTGATTGTTTGGAGCCTCGGCCCCATATAAACTTTTCCCTTCTTGTAATGACAATACTCATCGATGATTCTAAAGTTAATTTTAAAACTTCATATTGTGGAAATCTTCTCGAGCAGGTTATGAGGGAGCAAATATACAACATGCTCTCCTAGAAACATGTCGTAGTGCCAAAATGCAATTCTGAATTGGGACTATGTGGCTAAATCAACTTCTCATTTCAAGTCATTTTCAGCTGTTTTCACTCTTTTATTAAATTTTTTTAATAAAAAATATTTTTGATTCTAGCCCATTCTTTGCTCGTAGACAAAATAAGAAACTCAACTAGACTGAACTTGTTAAGCAATATATGTTTTGAGCTTTGAAGTCTGAACCTAACTTAATTGAAAAAGCATATAATAAGACCATTTATATTTAGTAGATGGAGGTCACAATTAATCTTGACCTT